AAGTGTCTTTGTGTACAACTGCTTTGATTTAGGGAAGGAGATTTGGGAAGTGAATTAAAGCACACGTATATATCTGTCACAATGGTGCATGTCTGTGATAACATACATAACAATGACCCTGAAGGTGGGGCTCTGACCTGTCAGCAGTGAGGGATTGTGGCAGCAGGAATGGAAATTAATGTGTTATCCTGCACAAAATGCAACTTGCAGCTTTGGAGAGAAACTTGAGGCTGGTTTTGATCCTTCAGGGCAGATGGTAGAAACAAACCACAAATCTTTAAGCTGAAGCCCTGGCACATTTCTGGTAGAGTTTCATGGGGATGTTCTGGTGTCTAATAGGTTCTCAATACTTAACAATCAGCAATATACCCTGTTTAGATTTTTCTTTTGACCATCATAGCAGATGTAACTGTAGAATAAGAGTAGAATAAGTTTATAAGAAAACCTGAAGCTATGAACAATGGAGTCAGTGTCTCTAGTGTTTGTCAGTGAACATAAAACAACAGTAAAGAATAATGAAATATTTATGAAACTTCAGAAGTAATTACAATGTTAAGGTGCAGAGTTTAATTTGGAAGCAGTTGCAAAATAAATGAAAAATTAATTTTTCCAGACTTACTGGTTCATTTTTAGGCTTATTAAAAAATAACTTGGCCTCCTTGTAGCAATAAGATGTGCCAAATTACCTGATTAATGTAAACTTACAATTCTGTCCTCCATCTATTAGAGTAATTTTACAAGTGGGTAGGTTGTCTGTAATTCCTTTTGTCTTTTTTTTTTTTTTCTATCAGAGCACACACAAAAAGAGAGATGAGTTTTACTGCTGACTGTAATGCCTTTCTTTGGCAGGACTGGCATTTTATGTTCCCTTGCACCATGAATGGACTTAAAGAATCTGTGTTTTCAGTGTGGAGAAGACACACATCAGAGGGCTTTAAATCAGGAGATTAGTCTCACATTGGCTTTGCAAACCGAGGTGAGCTAAGGGAATGCAACAAGTTTTCCATTAAATTAAACATCATAGTGCTCTGATGTAAATGCCCTTCTGAGGTAATTCCCATAATTTTACTCGTTAAGACACTGAAATCAATGAACATTTCAAACTTCTGTGTTATGGTGGCTGTGAAATGGCTGAGCTGAATTGCAGAATTATTTGGGAATGGTCTAACTCTGCTTACACCAAAACTTCCTGTTTCAATGGGAGCACAGTTAGGTAACAATACATAATCTCTTGCTGATCTGTCCTTGAAACCTGAAATTCAGTGTTTTCTTGGAAGAATCCAGGTAATTTTCAGGTTTAAAGTCTGAGAGATTAAGTAGGATCCAAATAATGCACCATCCTGCAGGGGGTGTTCACCCCCTGAACCGAAACAGCTGTCCTTGATAGTTCAAGTTGCTTATTTGTAAAGTGGATACAATAAAATAAACCTTCTTTACATCTAAGTCTTGTGAGACTCAGTGAGGAGGAGTTTTTTCCCTTTCCACCTCTGACCAAAACCCTCTATCCACTCCCTGGTATCCAAATCTCTTGGCTCCTGGGTGGCACTTGGTGGAGGTCAGGCTTTCCCTGAGGAAACAACACCGTTTCCTCCTGGTTCAGTGTGTTTTGTTGATGCACAAGAGGTGGAAATGTCACTCAGTCTGAGCACATGGTGTCTCAACATGCCTATTTTGTTATATTTATCATATATTACAGTCCAAGAGGAGATGCTGGTTAGGGTTGGACTGACTCCTGGCAGTGGTGTTGCATGTGATACCCGTGTAAGTCTGGTTGGTCTGTGGTGTTGGTGGTACTATTGCATTTTTTTAGCAATGTTTTCAAACAGAAATGCCTTGAAAGCAGTTTGTGCAAAAATTCCCGAGGGCTCAAAGCACTTTGTTACTCAGTTTGACAACACCTTCCTGGTAAATGGCCTCTTAGATTTTAGTGCCTCGTGCTAATGGCTTTGTTTGGCTTGGGATCAGTTTGGTGAAAGGTTCTGTGAGGAAGCAACACGGGCTTGAATCTAGAAATGCTCTTTAGGTATAAAGTGACTTCTGTCAGAAGAAGAGGAGGGAGAGAACATGGCCAAGAGGTGAGTTCTGACTACTCAAGTCAGAAGGTGGAACAGTAAATCAGGCTGGGATGAGGTGATCCCAGCACGGGATGTGGTGACACAGGATGATGAAGGTGGCTGGATGTGTCTGTAGCATTGGCTCCCAGGTTGATCCCTTTATCCTCTTCTGAAATTATGGTCATCTGAAAGATTTGACACCCTGTTCCTGAAGTGAGCTCTGTGCATAAAGCCCAGTGTTCAACTTATAGTGTGGGCCAGTGTATCAGAGAAGTGCCTGACACTGGGGATCCTTTTCGTGCAACTTGGTGGAGAAACATAAAAAGTAATGACTAACTACTCTTGCCATATAGTAGTTGCACACTAAATAACAAGAAGCACAGGCCTAGCAACCTTCTCTCCCCAAATACCAACAGAGAGAATTTAGTTGTCTTGCAATTTACCCTTTCTGAAGGGAGAAATATTGACATTTCAGAAATGTTTGGTTTTCATTAGAAACAAAAACGCATTATCTGTCTTCTGTAAATTTGCATTTCTTCCAAACCAGAGGCTATGCTTCAAACATGAGGAACTGGATGTTTTATTTTTGTAATTTGGAAGAAGCAGACTCAGCCTATGATCTGGACAGCCTGGAGACACAAGTGTGCAAGGAGCCAGCAAACACATTGGCAGGCGTGAGGCTGGACCTGTCGCTGTGGCAGCCTGTGTGGCTGCCTGGTTCTGCTTCAAACACAAAGAAAATACTGGTAAAGCTGGCAAGTTTTTGCAGAGCACTTGAATTCTATGAAATCAAAGCTTTTGGATGTAGTTCTGTTCCCACTGAAACCAATGCAGTTTACTGTGCAAATAAGCTTTCTGCCTGAACACCATCGTAGTTAAAACAACGCTTCTGTTTCAGGGTTATTGCTGCGTTTCAGCATTTTAGGCAAGAATAGGGAGTGTATAGAGAGAACAAACCAAGCACAAATAGAAATCAGGGTTTAAAGGACATGGTGGGACAAGTGTGGGTGGAAAAAGCAGTTATGGATGGTGAATGAGGTCTAGAAATAAGAAAGCTTAAGGCTTCTGCAGCCTGTTGGAGATGATCTAAACAGTTGCATAGCTCTTTCAAGAGCTCCAGCCAGGGGGAAAGGTTGGATCATGTTAATAATCAGGGAAAGAGGGTGAAGGACTTTTCTAAGTCGTCAGTTCTGCAGGGGAATGTAACTTCTGTACAAGATCCCAGTTGTTGCTCAGTTCTGCTGCTGTTGCTGAGGGTGCTTTTGCTGAGTAGTGTTTTAATGCTGTTCTGCTCTCCTGAGCTAAATGGGTGTGAGAACTTCTCTGAGCCTGGGGTATAGCCTGTAATAATGTGCTCATCTAGGGTGAAACCCTTCCTGCAGTGCTGCCTGGCTGTGCTCTGGCTGAAAAGCTCTTTTTAATTGAAGAGGACTGAGCAGGTTTCGTTTGTAGCTGCCTAATTACAAGTGGGCACAATTCAAAGGAGGAGGCCACGTTGTGGAACTCCACCACTGCAAATGACAGGGCATGTGTTGATATAGCACTGCTTAAAAAGCCTCACAGATTTATTTTGCCTCTGCTGAGCCCACATGGCTTGTGTTCATCCAGCTCTGAAAGTATATCCATGGGTTAGGGTAAGGAAAATGACCACACCTTTGTTACAAAGTGTTATTAGTAGATGTTTAATGTCTCTACTTCTGCGTGTACAGACCTGCACATCTTGGATTTATCAGAACTGGTCCCTTACACTTTTGCAGGTCTGGTTGGAGTGTCTCAAATAACTGATGTCTGTCAAGATTCCTCCCCTCTTTGTTCATTCTTGAATAATTAATGTAATGTTACTTGCTCAGACTAAAACCCACTCCATCATGTCAGTGAAATTAGTGCTGGGACACAGATTAAAACCCTCTAAGTTTCAGATTCTGGCAGGACAGACCTTCTTGGATACTGGGCAGTTTGACCAGATGAATTCATCCACACCTGACTGTTTGGGCACCACTTTTGCAGTTTAATCCCCAGGCTCCTGACTAGCATATATCCAGATATGTTCAGAGGGCTTCTTAGGGATTTACTTCACTCTGTCAGCTATAAAGAACCTCATTTAAATCTACAAGCACTTAAGTGGGAGAAAACAGAAGTCCTATTGTCTTTTTTCAAAAAAAACCCCTGTGCTTCATATTGCATTTTGCATTGGAAGAATGAGGTGAAGCAGAATGTTGTAGTCTGTGTGTCAAAGCACCAGGTTATTGTTACCTTTTTTTTTTAAAGGTCCAAATATTACACCAGTCCTTTGATTACATATGTTGATGTTTTTCATAAACTGACTGAGAGGGGGAAAAAGACATCTGAACTGTCCTGTTGGGTTACCCTAATATAATTTTAATCCCATTAATACAGCAGTAGAACCACAACACTGTGCTAAATCGGTGTGACAATGTGGAATGGGGATTTAGAGGATACAAAGGTAATTTACAAAGCAAGGACACCCTTAAAGAAAACCCCAGACCTGCAATAAAATAATTTTCAAAGAAGCTGTTTGGAATTAAAGGCATCTTTGCATTTTAATGGGTAATTATTCTTGGCATCAATAACAGTATATAACCAAAATCCACTGTATCCCTGAGGGACAGAGGTAAATTTGGATTTAAAGGAGGTGCAGCTAATATTTTGTACTTTAAGGAAAGCCAATTACTGCGGATCAGGTAGAACAGAAGTCCGAGGCTTTTGGCAACGTAAGCGGCAGCATCGTGCATACAATCAATATGGGAAAGGTTATTACTTTTTATTAGGAGCAGGGGCTGGAATGTGGAAGCAAAGCTGCCAGCCAGCAGGAGAGGGCGGCAGAGAAACGGGAGAGCTCCGTGCAATTCTGCAAAGCCTTCGAAACACCACTTAAATTTTTAAGAGGAGCGAGAGCACATCGGAGCTCTCAGAAGCCAAATCCCCTTCGAAAAGGCGGCTTCGTCAGTCTTTATAAATAAAGTCCGTAACACTTTGAAAATGTCAAATTCCTGTGGCAGCCCAGAAGACGTGGGGAAGCAGCGAGGCAGAGATGGCAAGATAAGAAGGGAGGATGTGGATGATTCTCAACCTGAGGGAAAGAGGTTGAAGCTGGGGAATGAAGGAGGAAACAGTGGAAAGGACAGAGAAGCAGCAGCAGCAGAAGAAGCAATAATGCCTTGCTTAGGCAGAGAAGAGCCCGTGCCCGAAGGAGGGGATGAAGGCAAAAGTGTAAGTGAGGGTCTTCAGTGGCTCTGAGCTGGGAAAGGGGGAAGGGCTGTGAGGTTACCCTTGAAATTATTTGTCGTCCTGAAGTTGGTAATTGGGCATCAAGTAGTGTAGAACAGATGTGATCAAGTGTCCCGTCTCACTGAGATTATAAACATGTTCCTCTTGAGTTTCTTACCTTGGCTACATGCTTTTTAGTGCAGGAGTGTGTATTTTAATCGGGCTCTCACTGTTGGCTGCTTGCAAGATGTGTATGGCAGAGAAGTGATTTTTTTGGGGTTTTTTATTTCTTTGGGGGTTGGGGAGGAGAGGGGAGAAGGGATATTAACTGCCACAGCTTGTTTTTCAGCTCCCTGTAGCTGTTAATAAATTGGGTAATGGTTGATACATTGAACTGGGCAGTTTGGGTTGTTTATCAGTCTGTCCATTCAGACTTTCCCCCACATTGATGCTGGAAAGTGCTATTTTACAACTGGGGATGAGTGCAGAGCCTCCAGAAGTGGAGAGCTGGTGATTAGAGATCTCATCTGGGGAGAGAGCAAATGTCATCTGAAGAGATTTCAGAAAAAAAGAGCTGCTGAGCAGTTGTCTTTATGAATATCCCCATTATCAGATCTCTACATGAGGTTAACTTTGTCAGTGTTTCCTGGCTGGTTATTTAGTTTGGCTGCCGTGCCTGTCAGCAGGTTTCTGAGGCACAGCAGAGACCAGGGGGGAGAGGGGATGAACACATGGATTCCCTGCCAGCTGAAGCTTTTCCTCTCATGGTGCAATTTGGGCCAGGTACTTTTCCTGGACACAAATTGGCTGCTTCCCTCTATCAGCAGTGGAGGGGGAGGTGGTGGGAACAGTGTCTTGGGTGCAGGATGTTTTCTCTGTAAGTTGTCATATGGTGAGAGTACAGCTTTAGGATTCACTTATCAGCTGCTGGAGACTTCAGTGCACAGATTTTATCCAGAAGTTTTCTGAAATGTGTTTTTCCTCTCCCGGGATTGATTTCCTGAGTTAAGATGTGCCTCTTCAAATGAGGAGTTAAGTAGATATTCCACCTTTTGGTAGGATTTACGTTGTTAAATAATTTGAGAGGTAGTTCTTGCAATTTGTTCTTGGTGGAATTTCATCTCTAAATGCAACAGTTTTCCTGGGATACAAAAGTATTTAAAATATGTCTACAGTGTTAGTTAGTTTCTACAGGCAGAAGTCTGTCTTATCAAGCCACCTAACTGCGGAGAATTGGGCTTTGGTCTAAGTCTGTTTTGGGCTTCCAGTGCTTATGAAGACGTGATCTTTTTGACTCTCAGCTAGCAAAGTAACACTCCTGTTATTAATACTGGTTCTGGCAGAGACTTTTTTTTTTCCTCTCCTAAAGTTACACAATATATAGGCAAGTTAATTGGTCAAATCATAATCCTTGGTTTTGTCTTTTTTTGTTTGTTTTGTTTGTTTGTTTTTCCCCCCTGAGACTAAAGGTTTTAAATTCATTCTACTTTATGATAAATATCCATAAATGTGTTGGGGGTTTCCACTGTGGTTTGGGGTAAAAGTCTTTTTAATGGTACATCTTACTATAATATTTAATTAGGATGTTACTGAAGACTAAGCCTTAATTGAATAAATTTACTTTGTCTTGTAAGGGGTCAATTTTCGAGTGCAGAATATGCCAGAATGATGCATAGCTAAGTCACTGGGCTCTGCCCCATTTGTGAGACCTGATTCACATCCTTACAAATGTTTTGCCACTGCAGGAGAGTTCTGTGGTGATGGATACCTGTCTTTTTGTTGTCATTTCAAGGACCTGGGTATATCTGCTCCATCATTACATTCTGACTTTTCAGCAGGGGGTTGCTAAAAATATTAAAGCAAATCTACTAATGACCAATTGTTTTCCTGTTTGTCTCTCCTAAAATAAATTCTTATGTAGTTTTTATAATAAAACAATTCTTAATTCTTAAACTGAGTTAGATTCAAAATTCATCAAAGTTCAGTGAAACTGTTCTTTCCCCTCACTTCAGTAGACTCTTGCTTGGGATGTTGCACTACATTTAATATAAAACTCCAATATTTTTTTCCCCTTCCCACTTAAAGCAGTGTGTCTGAGTTGGAGAGATCGTTAGAAATTAATTATGTGGCATTTAAAATTCTGTTAACATAAAACTTTTACTAAAAACAGGGAAAGCTTGTTCAACAATCACTGTGTCTGTCACCTTGTAGAGAGCAAACTGCTGGAAAAGATGGACTGTGTGCCCTTAGGAAACACTGGAATGACTTCATTTCTGTGCTTAGAAGAATCCTTATTTTAATAGCCATGGTGGTGTGGGTAATCAATGCATGCATCGAAGTAACATTCCCTAATAGTCCATTATGTCTTCTATTTTAAAGAAGGACATTTAAAAAAAATTATAGGCTTTGACTCATTTTTGGACTAGTAATAAAATATCAGCACAGTATGTGTGCCATTTCTTTATTTATTCCACTGCAATTTGCCTGATTCAACATCCATTCTCAGGTTTGGAGGAAAGAAACCTACCTCAGCTGCTCTAACTCATTATTCCACTTATTATGAAATCTGGTATTATGGGAGAATGCAGGCACCATCTATATTTTATGTGTGTGAAATGATGCATAATCCTTGTGGGCATTTCCTTGGCACTGTGTGTTTGTAGCTGGAGCTGCTGCTGTGCACAAGTTGGTTGCAGGAGGATGTTTGTGCCACTGGCTTCAGTGGGCAGAGCTGTTCCCTTTGCCATGGGAATGAGGGGCTGCATTTGCCAACAACTCGTTGGCAGTGGTACCTGGAATGATTCCTTCACTTAGTAACTAGTTAATGTTAGTAACCCGGGGTGAAACTGTAATTTGTAATTTAGATATCTATTAAAATAATTTGCTTCTTGCCATCTCTTTTTATTACTTTCATTTCTAATGAGGAAACTGCTCGCAGCAGGTGTGAATCACAGAGTTTAAGGACATGGAGTTTTTTTCCCCTCTAATGTCTCTTTTTGGCATAGCATCAGAATGAAGTACTTGGTTCAAATGAAATGGGTGCAGTCTTTGTAGTAAGGTTCAACTTGAGAAATCTCTCATTTGGTCCAGATGGTGGGGAATTAGCATTTGGAAGAGCTGGTGAGTCACTCCTTTTCATCAAAAGTTTGGGTAAAAGTACTGAAGTCTCTGTGGAATTCAGTGTACCTCTTGTATGCCTGGACGGGCACCATAATTATCAGCCACATGATGCCATAGGGTTGATTGTCACCCTACCTGTGCTCCAGCACACATTAGAAATGATTGAATCGGTGTAAAATCATATTTAATGAAATAAAAAGCATATGAAGAAGTGATCATGCAAGTAATGACTTCTTTCCAGGCTGATAGGCGTGTTCTCCTGACTGGCTGCCATGAGTTACCCACAAGTTATGATCACCAGGAGTGTGTATCTTTGTAATCCTTGTATCCTTGTACTTCAACAACAGTCATTTCATCTCTCTGAACAGCTACTGGTGGCGAAGGTTGTTTGCATTTAGGTACAAAAATATTTCTGTATTCCTAATGCCTGCTTTGCTATGAACCAAACCTTTTTTTTCCTCCTAAACATTTCTGCAAATTTTTACAGAACAAGACCAAATTCTTGGGTTTGGTTTGATGTCTGTAGTGTTCCTAGAGCATCCACTGTTCTGAACTGTGTTTTCATCTGTAATGTCACCTGTGCAGAAAAGAGCTTGAACTTTCACCCTTTAATCAACTTTCAGAATGACTTAATGCATTTGGGAATTCAGGTACTGTTTCAAATTTATTTTTTTTTTAAAAATTGCCTTTGTTAATACCTGGAAAAGAGGAAAGTGTTACAGGTCCAGTGAAGAAAAAAGTGCAACTTTTTGTTGTTGACATCAGAAGTAACCTCTTTACTTGACAATCCCAGAACTGAAGAAAAGAAAATGTGAGAAATGTATATGAAAGTGTGTTTAATACTTCTGTAGGAGGAGAAAACTGATTTTGCTGCTCACATCTGAAGAATAGACTACACTAAAGTTGTCATATGTGGCAAATCCAGCTCTCTAAATCTCAGATGTTAGTAGGTTTTTAAAATACAGTTTAAATGGGGAGATGTGACATGCTATACAATGCTATTTAATGTTTGCAGTCTTAGTCATTCTTTGCATACAGACCAAATTGAACCCTGCTATTAATTTGAGTAGTGGACAAGCATTCCCAAGACTTAAAAGAACTTACCTTGGAAAGCTGAAAAACATGTCTTGGAAAGCTGATGATTTAAAAGATTATTTCTCAGGCGGAGAGGAAGGATTTTCTAGAAATTAAGATATGAGCTTGGAACTGCAGTTCAAGATAAAATTCCCTCATTTGAAGGATGGGTCAGGATTCAGGGTGCTAAAAGCTCTACCAAGATGAGGTCAGGATACAGAAATACAACTTTGTGTGTGGATTCACTGCAGGAACTTCAGGATGTGACTTCTGCAGTGTGAGCTGCTCTTATGGAAGTACTGGAGCTAAATACCAAAGATGCCAGGAGGCATTGAACATGGACTGTGTCAGTCTAGACAAACGAAATGCACATTTATTGTTCCTTATGTTCAGCTTGGGTTATAGGAGAAGTAGTGTTTGGCTCAACAACTCAAGGCTTTTTCACGAAATAAATGCATCAACGTAGTCAAGTGTGAACATTGTACCTGAAGCCTGACAGTTTGACCTTTCTGTGTGTTGCCACACACTGTGTTAATGGGGTTTCTCATGCAGGTTTTTTGTTTTAGAAGGCTTATTTTCTCCTTGCAGCTGGCTTATCACAAAGGCTGTTCTGTGTGTACCTGGCTTTCTGCTCTTGATTGTGTTCTGTGAATGTTACTTTGAAGGGGAATCGTGTTTAGACCTGGGATGGTGGGTCCATAACGGGCTGAGAGTCCAATTTAAGGTGCTGATTTTGGACTTTCAAGGTCCTAAGTAGACTGATGCACTCTGGTGTCGAGGCTGTGCTTTAGGCTTTTTCGCTCCTGCTT